GGAATGCACCATGTCACGAACCTCAAATCATCTCAAGGTGGTTTCTTAAATAGCCTCTAAAGTCACCACATCTCAGTCCAATAGAGCAACTGTGTGATGCGGTCATGCTGGTAAGGACCAAAATCTCTGATGAAAGTTTCCCGCACTTTTGTTGAATCTGTGAGAATTAAGACAAAAAGAGATCCTCCTTAGTACGAGTAAAGTGTACCTAATGAAGTGACCGGTGAGTGTACACAACTTGGTAGTGAGTTAAGCGTATGAGAGACTATAGTCTGCTACAGTTACAAAGCTGCCAAATAAAGACAACGCTTACAGAATGTATTTATGTCACATTATTGACACATTTCTTCGGTCATCTCATTTTCTCTACGTTTAATTTGAATGATTCGTTTAGGCGAGAGTTAATAAATCAAAGATTAAACTTTTATACCACATCCTCTCATAACAGCAAAATACACTGTTCTTATAAGAGAGATTAGCATTCTTAAAAAAATGAGTCACTTTGAAAATAAACACAAAAAAAATCTCCATCCGCTTGGTTTCATGAGAGTGACTCACGTCGTGCCAGCCGGGCGACATTCCTGAAGAAGAGGGAGAAGAATCCAAGAGCTGTTGACAGTCATCGTGCTGTGGCGTAAAATGCTCAGCAGGACTAGTTTGACGAGCCTGACTGTTTTTTACTCAATCGCACTCCTCCTCTGAAACCATCTCGGGTGCGCATGGGACGCAGATTTGTCTCGATCAGAGGTGAAGCACGCAGGAACCTGGAACAGTGAATACACTATTTAAAGTTTCTTTCTTCCTTTTTTATTTTAAATTAATTTCTTTGTTTTTTTCCAACGGACACAGGATGAGAAGCTGAATAAGAGAACGATCTCTATTCGTACAGGAGGTTTTTTTTGGTCGTTTCTGTGGATATTAAAACGCGCAATGGAACAGGTATGTCCCATGACGCTCGTAACATTATGATGATTGGATAATATGCTATTGATATATTTAAAGTTGTGTTAGCAGACATAAATCCTGGCAATACTGTAAACTGACATTTGAAGAAAAAAAAGATCAAAGCTTACAACAACATTAAGTAAAGTGAGACAGAGTTTTAGCTCTGTACGCTGTAACGTTGTTACTACAATGATGACATAGTTTATCTTACCGGATTAAGACCAGAACTAAACTCCTCTTAATAATAAGTGATTTGGGATTTTGTTCTTACTCCAAATATGTTAGGGAAATAAAATTTACCTTATTTAGGTCCTGTATTGAGACTATTGTACTGTGTGATACTTTCATCAGGAGGAACAGATTGACTTTCAGGCCATAAGGGCCAAGTTTCAACAAGAAGAATTCATACTGAAGAAACCCAAGATAAAACCTGTTCTCCCAGAGAAGTCAAAGGTAGTCTCTCCTCCCCAGAGCCCCAGTCATTACCTCCCTTCAGGTGCACGCCCCTCCCTGCTGACCACCATTAATGAGAACTTGGAAAGAAAGGCACTATTTGCCCCAAGAGTGGTCTTCAAAGATGATCCGAAAGAGAGCAAAAAACCTCTCATCGACGATAAAGACAAAAGTGAAGGGAAACGGAAAGGTGGTAAGCACAAAACACTCAAAGGGAGCAGGGAGAATCTTCTTAAAGATTCCGTGGATCAAAAGAAAGTTAATAAGAAAGACAAGACGCTTCCTTCGGTTGTCCCTGTAACTCAGAAAGAGAGTACTGCAGAGCTGGTGCCAGCCGCACCCCCACCTAAAGTCACAACAGAGAAAAAGAAGCCTTTCAGTCTTTTCAAAAAGTCAAAACGAGATTCAGTGTTGATCTCAGCTGATCCAATTCTGGACACCCCAAGCTCAGATATTGCTGGACTAGCTCCACTCCTCCCAGTGCCTTCTGAATCTGGTGGGGAAACAATACCTAATTCAACATCAGAGCCCCATCTACCAGACAACCCCACCTTACCAGATCACAGTGCTGATGTAGAAATGTCCCCAACCTCTACTACTCTTGAATCTTTTGCCTTCAACCTACCTCCTCCTCTCATACCTGAGAGCCCACCACCTGAAATCCCAATCTTGACCAGTGAAATCCCACCTGAAATAGAAAATCCCACTTTTCCTGTTTCTAGCCAAGATGAAGCTATTACCAGTCCACCCAGTGTCTCTCCACCTCTTCCACCCAGCTGTGTCATCTCTGGTTCTCCTTCCCTGGTTTCTTCTCCATCTCCATCACCCGCCGAGCCTGAGATTACATCTGAGATTGGGAAAGATGATATTTCTATAACTGCTGTGGAGAAACTTCCTTCTCTAGCCACAAACCCTCCATCTGTTCCACCATCTCCCAAACCAGAGCGTCCAGTCTCAGCACTCTCTGCCCTGGAGAGGGCAGAGGATATGAGTCCTGGAAAAAGAACACCACCAGGTGACCAGAGGATTTTCAATGCTCTACAGAATGCACGCAAGAAGACCAACAGGTAAAGAACACAAACAGCAGGAACACACACAGTTTCATTCCAGCAGTTACGAAGAAACATCTCTGTTTACAGCTCAGTCACTAACAAGATGTAATTTCTCACCTGCTCTTAGCCCCTTGATATGTGACATCCACTCCTATTCTGTTACCCCTCCACCTGAGGAATCTTCCCAGTGTCAGAGCCCCACTGAAAGTCTCCCAGAACTCCCACCCATTGATTATGAAGATCGAACAGGCAATGCCGTCCCATCGAAACCAGCACAAGTCAATGGCATTGACCACCGTAAGTCCAATTAACATAACCACAGTAGAGCTCCCCTCCCCCCTCCTCTCTTCCCCACCTCTTACTTTTCCGTGGATTTACTTCACCTCAAAAGAAGTTGAGAAGAATTTATCTCATCATCATCAGGTATGTGCTGTAGGCCTGCAAAACATAATTTAATAGCTTAGAGTTTTAGCTGCAGAAAATACCTGGCCACAAGGTCGCCTCAGGTGGTGACATTCTTCTTTTGTGCCAGAAACAACTTAGCAGAAGGCAGGGCAGAGCTGCAGAGGTATGTTTGCTATGTCAGAGATGCAGTGACAAACAGTTCAACGTCTGTTAAGCACAGTGCAGAAAGAGCAGGAAGTCTGCTGCTCTGTTTCATTTGCATTGCATTTTTGAAATTGTGCATACAGGTTTTTATGTCAAGCTCGTTTAATATGATGAAGTCTACTGTTACAAATTACAGATGAGTACCTTTGACATGGTTTCTAATCTTTTATTCTGCAACAGCAAACAGTTTTGTACAGCTTCAAAAGGCAGCTAGCGGGCAAGTTTCTAGAGATGTGTTTTGTATTTTAATTAAAGTAGCAAAATTGAATTATACTGCACATTTCTTATAAATGCATTAGCTCTGCTCTACAGAGTTATACAAGAACAACTTCCACAGTGGGTTTGACTGGTTTTGTTTCCTTACATATGCAATTCTTATTCTTTTTCTTGCCCTATCTCTATTTCTGTGTTGGAAAATTCACTTTCAGATGTAGTTTTGATGTTGAATGGTTCTTTTTGACTTAAATGAGATTAAAGTTCAAAATCTTTTAGCAATCATATCTAGTCATAACCTTCTAAACTGTTATATGTTCATATGTAATGTCATTCCTTCCAGGACAGCCCTCTCCATTGTTGCAAGAAATCACTGAGGGACCTGACCCTGTCCCTGAGGCGATTCCCCCGCCTCCACCCAAGATGACTATTTCAGATAATGGGCTTCTGAATTCTTCTGTAGAGGAACCTGCCATACCTAACTCTGCCAACTTGAGTGAATTCATTCCTCCACCTGTCATGGGAGTTAATGGTGTGGTCACCAGTGCTAGACTCACAATTTAGAGAAAAGCTAAACTTCAGTGGCCTGTTCTTGTAATGCGTCATAATCCTTTATGCTTCTTCTGCAGATATCCCTGCTCCACTTGAGTTTTCAGAGACCTACACCCCTGATGTCCCAGAGGTTGACAATGTGGCTTCAGGCATTCCTATTCCCGAGCTGCAGGGATCAGAGTTGGAGTATGAGATGTACCCAGGTGCAGATGTTCCAGACGGTTATGACCCGCCAAAGGCTCACAGTAATGTTCCGCAAACCGAGATCCACACAGAGACACCATATGGAGACATATCCCAAAATAATCCACTACCAGAATCATCTCATGCTCTCGGTCAGGACTTACAACAGGCGTCAGAGTAAGACATGCAAATTTAATCTATTTTATTTCTCATTAAAATGGTTCTTAATCCCTGACAAGTTAGTATTCATTAGTGTTTGTTCAACTTTTTGTCCCACGCAGGCCCCAACCAGAAGACGATGTTTATCAGAACACGGAAAATGCGTACGAGTATATCGCCACACCTGATGGTGACAAGAAAAAAGTCAAGACTAAAGTCAAGAAACGCAAAGAGCCAAAGAGTAAGAAACTATTTATACTAGAAAAATAGGAATTGTGCTCAAATTAATACAGTAATATTAGAAACTGCCTGGAAGGGTTGCATCTTTGGTATTGTACATAACTGTGTCCTTCTTTTTAAACCACAGATCCATATGTTGAGTCAATGCCAGTAACGGTAAGCTGCAGTGTAAAATCAAGACTTTATTTTTCTTCATTCAAAAAGATAAGCTTTCTTTATGCAATTTTAATTCAAAGTTAATTAATCCACATTCTTTATTCTTACTTATAGGTTCAAGAGAAAACCAAGACGTTGAGGTTTGGCAAGTAAGGCCTAATTTTTTTTATCCAGAGATTTTTTAATTTCTCTTATCCCCGGGGAATTAGCGATGAGAGTGTGATTTGCTTTTGTTTCACTCATATTCTCCTCTGCTATTAACCAGTAGTCCTTTTCTAACTGGATGATCCTCTTCATTCTGCCTTCCTCAGGAGTGAAAAGAAAGCAGCTGCAGAGGGGCCTGATGAGAAGGAGCTGAAAAAGAAAGAAAAGCAGCGGCTAGAAAAGGAGAAGAAGGAGCTAAAGGAGAAACAAGAACGGGAAAAGAAAGAACAGAAAGAGAGGGAAAAGAGGGAGAACGAGATGAAGAAGAAATTCAAGGTAAGTGAACACGGAAGGTTAAGAAACATCGGGGGAGGGTGGGGTATATGTTCGGGCATACAAACCTGTCTGGATTCATTCCTGGCAGTGGAAGAGTTGAAGTGAGCAACATGTGCAAGCTCAAACAGAATACGAGCAAACATTTGTTTTGTCTGTGATATTTCTGACAGAACACCTATGGGCCATTCTTTATTTCTGCATGTTCTTCTACAATATTACTGTTCTGAACATGTTCTGATTAATGTTTGTGTTGTAGCAGAAACTGTTGTAATAATTAACATAGGGATGAACCCAAAAAAGATGCAACAACTCTATAAATGCGGTTTTGTGTCTACTTTAGCTCTGTTTTTTTTTTTTTTTAACACAACAGGCAGCTGGCTTTACCAGAAACACAAAAAATGGAGTAAATGCCAGCAGCCCAGTTAATATCATTAAGTGTAAAACCCAAGGATTACAAGATTAATGTCACATTTGTCACACGCTGTAAGTACTGTACATGTAAGAAGCACGTCAACATTTATTATGTCATCATGTGCTGCTTCTTTGCTCTATTCCTCTATTGATAAAACACAGACAGTTTTAATAATCATATCAATTCAAAGCCTGGTGCCTCTCCTGCTGATGCTTTGACAGTCTTACAGCTTAGCTGTGGTAAATATCATACATCTGGCAACTAAATGGTTTGATATGTCAAACCTTTTTTTGTGATTAGTGCGAAATGGTTACCTTGCTGAGATTGTGTTCCTATGCAATTCTCAGTGGAACTACTTTGATTTTAAATCTTACCCATATCCCCCCTGGACTTATGTCCCTTTTGAAACAGTGCTTTTTCCTAATAAAGACAGTATTGTTGTACAGTATAAAATCTTTTAATCTACCTTTTGCAGATAGGTCCAAGTCCTATCTGCAAAGGCAGTCTACCTCTAATTGTACTTGTATCATCAGTAATCATGATTGCTCGTTGACAATCATGACATCATCATCCTTTCATAACGAGACTGTGCACTGTGGAGAAATTGTGATGGGGTTGTTGCCTTTGCAGAAGACATAAAAATATCCTCCGATCAATGAGAGAGAAAGAGAAAGAGAGAAGTTAGAAGAAAACAACAACAACAATAACAACAATCCCCAAATCAGATGATGGAATTCAAGTAAATCATCACTCCATTTCTCATTTCTCCAATTCTTGATCAGATTATATTGGGCATCCACAGGGCAGTTAGATGGCAGTCTTGTCACTCAAATACCTTCAGATCAGCAAATGCAAGCCTGTTGGCTTTGAGAAAGATGCCTTTGTAAAAAATAATACACATTTCTTACTTATCAGGAACAAAATCACGTATCGAGAGTAAGTACTGTGAACATAACAGCAGGTTAAAGATAAACTGCTCCTCCCACTCTGACACTTAAGAAGTCTACTATAGGTCTGTAAATTCTGACTGTTAAAATGAAGAGTAACAGCATGCATCAGGCAAATGGGAGTCATCTCAGTGTTTCTGCACAACAACAAACTATTTGTCAGGAGACTGCTCTTTAATAGAATAAATTACACGATTAGCCCACCATCCAGCTAGTGAACACATGTATTTGTTTTGTGGTATAAAGCCTCTTGTAGTGTTGTTTTCAAAAGTGCTACATGAATATTGTTTATTGAGGTTATTTGAGTGCAAGTGGAGGAATATTCAGTGTTAACATGTAACTGTGTTTGTTAGATCACAGGACAGGAGGATGCCCTTTACCAGGCAAGAGTAGTTGTAACTGCAAAGGGACGAAAGACTGATCTCCCCGTCAAAGCAGGAGACACGATCAGCATTATTCGAACAGCAAACTGCCCCAAAGGAAAGTGGCTGGCCAGAGACAGCACCAACAGCTGTGAGTTAAAAAAATAAACAATCAAGATTAAAAGGATAAAAGGATGCAAGAACCTGTTTTTGAAACATAAGTGCTATAATCTGAAATGACATCTGAAATGACTGAATAACGACCATGTGAATGTGTTTTTAGATGGGTATGTCGCCGTTGACCATGTGGAACTGGACATCAAGGAGATGTTAGAGCTGGGAAGGAAAACTCATCCCGGGTCAAACAATAACTTTATCGAACCAGACGGTGCCCGCATGATTTCACAGTAAGAGTTTCATACAATAACAAGCTATCATGTGTAACCTTCTACTACTGTTATTACCTTTAAGTTAAAAAGTTATTTACAGATGATTTTTATTTCCCCCAGTGACTCAAACCATTATCAATTACCAGGAGAAAGCTGTAAGTGTTTCCCGTTTCTACCCAAGATAACAAAATACAGTGAAATTATTCAGCAGCAGTTTAATATTTTTGATGTTGACATGCTCAGTCACAGACGACAGTGAGGAGTGGAGCGGTGATGATGATGAACCTCCCTCTGGTTCTCCAAGTACACAGGCTGTACTGTGAGTAAATGCTCAATTATGCTCTACTTTTGGTGTTTACTGCTTGTTTCTATTGAGGACAAGAGTTAAGGTGATCAATCTGCTATTAACAGTTTTTTTGGCACTCTTTTTTCCTGCAGAGGTCATACCCGGACATTCTCCATGCCAGATGTGGGTAAGACATAACAACTTAGGCAGCACCATTCCCCAGTCAGCTCTTGTGAAAAAACAAGTTTGGGAAGATCTTTAATTGTTTACTGGAAACATACATTAAACAAAGCATAATGAATCACTTACTGAATTACTCACTTAAAAGTCACCTTTCAGTACAATACAAAAATAAATGGGACACTTGTGTTTGTCATGTTGATTTCCTCAATTTGTTATCTTGATGTGGGTTAACAGATACAGTAAACAAAGATACTACAGACTTGATATTTTGCAGCAGCTGTTTCAGAGAAACACAGGAAGGCTTATGTGAGGTTGCAACACAACTGCGAGTGTGTGAGCGCCCTCAGTATAAAAAACACTCAATCTGAGTCCATAAACAAGTCCTTGAGGACTTACTGATGTTCTGGATGTTGTATCAAGTTTCTATCCAATTATAATTTCTTCACAACTACCGAAATTACAAAACTGCACCCTTCTAAACGTCTTTAATGAACAATGGACTTTTCATTACGGCATTCTTTAAACGTTAATTCCCTGCAATGTGACTCATTAGACAAGCAGGTGCTTAAACAGGAAGCTGCTAGTAAAATATGTAATGGCTAATCTTAGGTCTGGTAACTTAGGAATTATTTCCTTGGTGTAACTGTTGTATGTTTACTTGTATACAGTTATTTATCTGTCGCTTGTGTGATTTCGTCTTTAGGAAACAAAGACCTTAGCGTGAACCACCAGCACAGTCACAGTGACATGGGTCATGATAGCTCCCACAACCAGTGAGTTCACCTGTTTCACTCTTACAGAAACACATACAGACACGCGCAGACTCATATAATTCTTTTTATTTCTCCTTATAGAGCACTTCAGAGGTTGTCCACATTTTTCCATTCACAAAAAAATGTAGAGCCAGCTGCAAGGTAGGCATGGTGGAGAAAAATGTAACAATGTTGTCCATCCACGAGCGTGCATGTACACACACATCCAGAGCTTCTTTTCAATTTTTGTTTTTTCTTCTTTTTAACAGCACCGATGAACCAGTAATGAGTAAGTAATGCCCTAAAAATCACATTTAAAAAGTCACTAATGTACTACTTTTTCAAACCTAATGCTGATGCACTTTCAGGCAATACACTTATGCTGGAAGAAGCATTTAAAAAAAAACATTCATAAAGTATTATCATAAAGTTTTTATAAACTGATTTCTAAATTGCAATATCAATACATCTTCAGGTTACACTGCAGGTTCTGTGAATGCGGCACAAGAAGCAAATCACACGTAAGTACAGAAAGAATAACGCACATAGAAAAATGTCAAACATGCTGTCCGACCTGTAGACGGAGAGGGTTCCTTCCTTTTTGCCTGGAACAGCTTGATAAGCATGAAAAGAGTAAATGTCTTCCTTTTTTTTAATCTCTGAGAGAAAGAAAGCTTTTAACTCCACCTTAACGCCACCAGGAAGTTAAGCCAGGTTGACTCCTGACAGAACAATGAGTTGTTAATTCTCAAGTAGGTCCCTCCTCTGTGCTTAGTGCAACAGACAGCATTTACATAACAAGAGCACTTAAAGAGAAGAGCACAGAAGAGTATATTGCATATACTCAATATACCCAATATTTCCATGGGTAATATAAAGCTTTTACTACTTTTTACATTTGGTGTGACCTTGACCTTGACCAGAAATTCACCAAAATAAAATCATCTCGAGCTGATTGAAATAGAACCAATTACATACTCCCTCCCTTCGAGGGAAGAATGAGTTACTGGGTTAAGAATATAAGGTGATAGATGAAAGACTGAGTTTTTTTCATGTTTTTTTTCTACAGGCCTGAGGCTGTGTCAGCAGGAGATACAGATTTTGTTCCTGATACACTCATTTTACCTCCTCCTGTCATGTATGCCGATGGAGTGGAGTGAAGGTAAAGTGGCCTTCATACAACAAGGCAAGGATGAATCACTCTTCACTGTCCATCACTGTGCACATGCCATGATGACATGATGTTTTTCTGTCTTAACAGCTGAACAGAAACTCCCCCAGGTGGAACTGCATTTGTCTGCAGCATTACCTGCTGGACTATGATCTTATTTATCCAATGACTGCATTCGTGAAGTAGAATTACATTTAACAACAATGAGAATTATATCATCTGGGCAAACGGAAATCTTTCTTCTGTTCTTTCAAATGCTGCAATGTGGAACCAGCATGGGACAGTTGATCTGCTTGCTTTAAGTGATCACGGTGAACTGCGTTGCACAGACACACACAGTATTTGTGGACAATGTGATCCTGGAAACTCTCGTAGGGACAATGAACTGCTTTCTGTGCAAAAACCAGAATGGAAAATATATTTAAAGTGGAGGAAATAAGGGAAAGAACAACGGAATGGAAACAGCGGTTTTTCTTATCAGATGGAAGTGTGTGTAGCTAAGAAATACTGGAAAAAGCTTCATTTGTTTTAAGATGCATCCATTAGAAACAATTAACCAGCTGTAAGCAGCAAGTAATGTGAGCTAATACCAGTAATATTCCTGGTTTATGTTTATCTACAGTACTCCAGCATTTAAAAACATTGTTTGTATTTTTTGCACATAAGCTTTTGCTAATTTGTAATTTGTACACTCATTATTGTTTTCAGTGTCAACTGTGGTATTTGGAAGGGACTATGTGACTACTCATGCTACAATACATATGACCTTTGAGTTTGACTTCTTTTTCATTGGACCCAAATAACCAGCATGCTGTGTAATATAATAGGTATAAAATATAGCATTTGCTCTGTATTGATCATAGCTGCAACTTCTAGAGGGATATCCATCAACTGAATTTTCTTTACTTTTTATAGAGCTTTTACCTGCCTCTGACACTAACAGTTCCCTATAAACAGATGAATAAGTATTATAGATAAACAACATAATGTGATGATTACTTGAGGTCATTTGCAACCGGCATTTGTAGTGGGTGTGAGTTTGTGTGACTCTATGAAAGCACGTTAAGACGGAATTTTTTTTACGTTTATTTTTTTTCCAATAAATATTCATTAAAGTGCAAATCAATACAGCAATATCATGCAACGCATAACATGAGAAATCCAAACCTCAATCAGACAGAAAGACATATAGAGACAGTATCAACACGCACGCATACAGGCAATCACAACAACCAGCGTGCACCCACATACCTAACACACACACGCACACACACACACACACGGTGGTATTTAGGGTTACACTGATCATAAGAACCCCACTACAGAAAATACTCACTTTGGTACAACATGTGAAATTTGTATTTAATTAGGCCCTTTAGCATTTCTTCTGGCACTAAACACAAATTAGCTTACATGACTATCATGCCACTGGTATTTGCATACAGTTGTGATGGTAGACTACACCTGACAGTAAACACTGGTTATGTCAGAGGAGTTTTTAAATCTCACCCATGACTTCTGCTGGATAGTGCACTTCAATCATACATATTTTTGCAAGTGTTTTTTAGGAGCATCAGTACCCGGAATTAAAGCATAAAGGCCCATATATTATATATTGATGTGACTGAAGATGCTTACAATAGAGAAGTAATTTAAGACACAGCAATAGTGTAAAATAGATGGCTGACAAAGGCTGTGGACTAGTGTTTACAAAGGTGTATATGCAGCAGCATATTGGAGCAGGGAACACAATTTCTCCTTGACAAAGAACAATGAGCAGTGTATGAGCTTACAGACAGAACAAATACACAGAACATGTAAATAAAGGGTTTCAGGGTAGCAGAAAGTGGCTTTCACTGGTTCAACCAGACCTCGGTCTACTACCAAGTAGAACCAGGTGAGAAAAGCGACCCGATATTGATCTGGGAAAGCGTGGTGTTTGAATCCAATGTGAAACGAAAAGGCAGCACTTTTTAGACAAATGTGCATTTGTCTGTGCTCATCTCACAGGGTTGACGTGTTGGAGAAGAAGTTCCACAACTTTATTTTGAAAGATTTCTGCAGATTTAATATTTTTCTGTCGTTTCAGTTATTTCGTTTTTTTACTGCACATATTTATATCAGTGTATATTTCTAAGTGCTGTATTTACACTTTTGTAAATCTCTGTGACACCACTCTGCAGAACAGTAACTGCCTCAGTGCCACTGACTTCTACGTCTTACTGCAAACAGTAGAAAGGCAACGGTCCAGTATCCCCACATCAAAACAGCAGGTTTAAAACCAGAAGAACATAGTGAGAGAAAGAGAGAAAAGGATTTATATTAGCAGCACCAGCATTCAATTTACATTCAGTCATAAATGATTTTGATATAATGTTATGCCTGACTATAGCAATACACAACATCACTATGGAAATCTGACAGGACATTACAGAACGGTGGCGTGCATCAATAGCAACCAGCAACAACAGTTACAGTAAAGTTTGCAGTGCAGTAAACAGTAAGTGTGCAAACTGTCGGCCACAGCAAATGAGTTTTACAGTGCAGACTGGACAGCAATGACTAATTGAAACAGATAACAGCTCAGACAGCTGCACCACGCCGAACCGTCATGGTTTGTCTCTCGCCACTCACTTTTCTGATTCTGTCACCTCTCTGACATCCCAGACATCACAATTATACTCAAGAGCCTTTAAACACACCAGTGTTAAGTACCATACTTATCTGAGCTCACAAACACACACTTGTATGGAAAACTTCCACAACACACTCCATACCAATTAATGCGTTGCATTGTTTAAGGCAACTGTAGAAAAGTTCATGTGGCTTATACACTTGTGCAACAGATACACACCGTCTCACATCTATTTTTTGCCCTCCTCAGTGTCATTCTGTTTTGAAATTTAATGGCTTACTTAAGTATTTTAACAAGTTAGAAAAAAAAAACTGGCCACACCAGCCAATAAAAATAGTTTTAAGATCTCACATTAAGCATCTGTCTCAATTTCTAAGGGGTATCTGCCTAATTTAAAAGCTTAATAATATAATAATAAAACAAAATGTTAGTTTTTACCTAAAAACAGCTATAATGCCTGTCTTTATTCAGCTTACTACATATGTGACTGAACTGAACACCCCTATGATAACTAAGCAAGTGTCTAAGTGTCTTCATTAGGGACTTGCATGTAAAGGGATCTGTTGGGTGTGTTGCATATAAAAGACTGCTTTAAATAGCAGGGTGATTGAATGCTTTGAAATATATCTGGATATCCCCCCGAAAAAAACCCAAACTCTTGTAAGATGGTCTGCATCTGTCTTCAACACCAATGCAACACATACTCGGCGTCATGCAGAGCATCATTCTACTATCCCGCTGTCTCAAAGAGCTTCGCTACTCATCTACAATCAATTCAAAATCAAGTAAAACTATGTTGAAGTAGTAATTAAATTAAAAAACTATAATGCCTAAAAAAACCTCTTAAAAATAAATATGGGTCTGACCGCTAAAATATAAATCTTAAAGATGTATAAAGTAATTTATTTGGTATTTCTCTGTCAAACTTTTCAGCTACATAATGATTGTAATATAAATATAATACAAGGATAACAAAATCTTCCTCATAAACAACATAAATAAAAAAAAATAGAATTTTACATTTTGCGATACTCTCTCTGACACGATTTAATGTCGAGTTTAACAACTTTGCCTCAGTGAAGATTTAAGACCAGATGCAAAACTGACCTTTGATCGGTGGTACAGTGGGTGAAGGAAATTCAGCAACTGATAATCAGCCGAAGATGTTTGTGGGAGAAGTGACAGTGAGCTTGAGCTTTGCTGAACTCTGACCACTCGCTTCTCACTTTACAGGCCTCCACTAGTTCATAGATTCCCCTCAGCTGCAGCCTGATGTGTAAGACATCAAGACTTTGACCCAATGACTGTCAAAACAAGAAATAATAACCCCCACTATTTTACCCCCTCATTCTCTCTCTCTTCATCCGAGGCGAATGCCACACCTGCCTTGCCATTTACATTTCCAATCGCTTCCCCCAATCCAGTAAAACAGAACAGATGGAGAAGAGACAGAAAGAAGAAGTCACTCCAAACATCTACACTCCCTACATCCTCGATCTGTGATTAGCTTAAAAACCCCACTGACATCCAGGTTACAGTGACCTAAGCAAGTCAGCAGGGCTCAGCGTGCTAGCGTAGTGATCAGACTGGCACACATTTCAAAGAAGTCCATGGTGTGTGATCCCTGACGTGGGGTGAGCAGATGGGAGCTACCAGACAGGGATCCCGGGAGAGAGGAGCTGAGCTGGGGCAGATCAATCGCTGGGGTTGCCGAGTCAATGCTCAGTCTGGGCCTGTGGAGACCGGCTGTGGAACCTGACCTCTGAGGAGTGGATGAGCCCGATTTAAAGCCCACTGCCTCGATGATGTCATCTAGAAGCACAGCAACAGCAAATATTAGTAGTCATTCATAAAGTAACTACTACGTTAACTTTTGTTTTATTAAACTTTGTGAGAAATATCTGTGAGACAGTACACAAATCAGTCCAGCTATTTCGAACCAGTGCTAAATGCTAAAAGAGGTCATTTAAAACAAAAGACACAAAGCTAATGGTACATTTTGTCTTAAAAACGATGTCAATGCATTTTTTAATAAGTAGTGGTCCTCTCTTCCTGAAGTGCAATTCTGTGCTAAAGCAAGTACAAGATGACTCATTCACCTGATTTGCATAACCATAAAAATATATATCTGTCATCTAAATAATAATGTCATCTATTGGATGTATGAAGTTTCTTATAGCCTTTTAAAATATTTTAGGCTTCAAATGACGTGATATTAAATCTGTTAAATTTTTTTAAATATAGTTACGTATCCTCAGAAGAAGATTTAATCTCATTATTGACAAAAAGAGTTAATATTATATGCACAATCCAAGACCAGAAATCTCTGCAGTGGATGATTTAAATGGTCTAAATGTAAATAATAGATCACAGACACCTATCTACTGAGCATCAAAGGCACCGGTGAGGTGAGGTGTCTACGCAGAAAGGATACTAAAAGACATCTTGCAAGTAATACATTAGTACCAACACACTTCAAAACGGTTTCTTTCCTCAGGCTGTAGGATTGCTGAACCCACTCTCAACGCTGTAACATGAAAAAGGAGCTTTTTCATAAAACAACTTTTTTCTTTTTTTTATGTTTTGTGACTACAGCTGCAATTTTCTTAGACAACCTTGTGAAGTGCAGTTCACGCCTTTATTCATTTCAGCTCAACTTTAGAATGACAAAATTAAGGACAAACATCAGCAGCTTTACACCTGCACAAAGGCCACGCATGTTTTATGATTTGGAAAATGTGTATTTTATTTTGGTTTTAAATTAGTCATGTATTGATTGTGACTAGATTGTGAAACCTGCTTAATGTGTTACTAACCATCAATGCTCTTGAAGTCAAGGAGGTAGGATCTGTTGTCCACTTGATAGAGCTGCAGGCTCATTTTCACCAAGTTGCCTGTCACTGGATTCTTCCTTCGAACTCGCAAATGGTATGGGTTCACCACCTGACACACACACACACACACACACACACAAAAGAGTCAATAAATATATAAATAAATATTTTAAAAACAGCCAAAACAGAGACTCTGTTTGTGTGGGGTTCTTTGCAGTGATGTGCTTTATGTATGTATAAGCACCTTCCAGTCAAAGTTTAGCTGCTTCATAGCTCTGTACACCTCAGCCATGATATCATAGGGTCTGCTCTGACTCCTGATACCCAGGTGCCACTTAGCCTTCTTCACTGCCAGTGGTTTAGGCCGAGTGGTGTTGAGAGCATCCAGAGGACAACGCGACTTTGGGCTGTCAGCCAAGAGCGGAGGCATCCTCTCTGGGTGAGGTTTAACTCCAGGGGGCAACGGCATTCCCTCCTCTATAAAGGAGCCCTGTGGAGGACTGGACGCCAAATAGAATTCACTGGCCTGGGTCATGATGCGCCTGTTATCTATGATGAGGTGATAGGCTACGGATAACTGATCCTGCGTAAACAGAAGGATGACGAAAAATAAAGTGAAGACCAATAAGATAATTCACTCCCAACAGACCATTATACTACTGAAACCTACAAACGTTGTTTACAGCTTTCATGATTTCATCAAACATAGAAAACATGTACTAGAACAAAGTCAATGAGCACCTGTGGGTCTCCACTGTACAGGCTGGTCACAACCTCAGATTCAGTGCATTCAAACTTTTCGCACACTTCCCTGACAGCCTCTTCATCCAGAACAGTCGCATCATATGATGGATCCTCTGGGAAAAGGTAGCCTGGTAGGTCCTGCTTAAACCATTCATGTTCCCTATCAAAAAACATTGATCAACTCAAACGCTTCATCCCAAACTCAATACTGACATTATCAGACACGCAAGGTATGACTTTTAGCTTGCTTCAAGCTGGATTATCAAACAGAGGAGTCTGTAATAAAATAATCCTGTGCCACATTACAGAGCTAACAGTTATAAAAGAGTGGACAGGGAACTAAATATTTGACATATTGAGGAAAGAAAATAAAGCTATAACTTGAGTTATAAAGCTATGGCATTTTCTTTTGTGGCAACATTAGTTAAAGAACTCTTTTTTTTTTTTAAAGAAAAAAAATGATATATGAAGAGAAACATACAGTATAATATTAATAAAAAAGTGTTAACAATATAGCTAAAGGAGGCCTCTGGATTCAAGACAGTGGGGTCAGTACCTGATGTCTTTGATGGTGGCTCTCTTCAAAGGATCCACCTGCAGCATGAGCATCAGCAACGAGGCCACAGAGCGGGTCAGATACTCTGGGATGTAAAAGACACCTCCTCTGATCTTCTTAAACAGTGTGGGGACATGCTCATCATCAAAGGGCAGGGTGCCACACAGCAGGGCATACAGAATCACACCACAGCTCCAGATGTCAACTTCTGGGCCTGCATAGAGTCTAACAGAGAGATGAAAGGAAGTGACAGTTAAAAAAAAAAAAAAAAAAAAAAAGCCAGATGCTTAACCACCAGAAACGCTTTTTTTCCACAGTGATTTATAGGTTAATGGTTAAACGGTTTGTTTATGACTTATCCCATGAGGCAGTTAAAAAAATAGTTGGTTGTATGATCACACACAAAAAATAGACGTACAAACCTTCCTGAGATGACCTCTGGAGCTGCATAATTGGGTGAGCCACAGCTAGTTCGTAGGAATTCTCCATCTGACATCATGTTTGACAGTCCTGTCGGACAATCCCAGTTAAATGGCAAGAGAACATTAATATCTCTCCGTCTTTATTCTTACAGTAACAAGCATAACAACAACAAAGCATCTTAGTATGGAGATGAGCGACCAGCTGCCACCAGAACAGCTTCAGCTTTAGAACTCTTTTAAGGTGTTCAAGTACCCTCAAAAGATATTTCATCATTTGGTGGAGATGGGGGGTGGAGAGCAGTGAACCTATATCATTCTATCAATTTTCTTAATTTCTAATAATGGACAGATATATTTTCTTCTTTCCATTCAACTTAGGGTTTCAAGGGAGTGAAACCTATCACTGTCTATCTGTCATGTCTGTGACAGAGTGCCAGTCCAGCACAGAGCTGGCACAACGAGAAAGACTAGTCATACTCACCCCTATTGCCAATTTAGAATCACAAATTAACCGACAATCATGTCTCTGGAGGCAAAACTTCACACAGAAAGACCCAAAACAGCACAGTATATGACTATGTTTTCCATCCTCATGAATCCAGTCAGTGACCACTAATGGCCTATAAACAGGGTACTGTAATCCTTAAAGCGACAACTCTAGGAGTCAGGATAGAAATGTTTCATCCCAGGATGAAGTAATAAGGCATTGATTTCTAGTGACCCTTTCCTCTAAAAGAACAGAAGGGCTAGTCAAACCCTGCCAGCAAAAAGATCCCAACAACACAACAGATCTCCAGCACCCCTCCTCGCACGGGTCAAGGGTTCAGGTTTTTCCCCTAATCTGTCACCTGTCTGCAGGTTAAATTTGAACATAGCCCAACAGGGAGTTACACACTGCGGACACTACTGAGACCTTTATCCTTCTTTACTCTCCAAGACACTAAGCTCTAAACACACAGCTCGTTTAATTGGATGAGCCTCTCTCTGCCTACCAGGGTCTCTGCCAAACATTAAACGTCAGACCCTTTGTGTTGTGCTGACCTTCCCTTTATCTTTTATCCCTGGTCCCTTAACACTCCCTTGCTCTGCTTGCCAGTATTTTTTGCTCTCAGCCAAAACACTTCTCCTGCTGTACTCCACTGCCACACCCCCCCTTGATTCCTTCCCTATCAGATGACACTGGGCCTCAAGGCTTCCTGCCAGACTTGATATAAAACCTTGCCGTTGCTAAGGGATGTCTCTCCACCCCACACGCCCTGCTGCGCATAAGGGCCCTTGTGTGTTTTTGAAATATTTCTCTCTTTCATGGTCATATTACATCAGGATTTTTAACTTAAATTGCAAAAATTAAGGCCTTAACTGATAAGAGGCATTCTCAAGTGAAATTTTCCTTATCATTTAATAAAGCTAAAAGGTGCACAATTAGATTTCACATTTTTCTTCAAGTTAACAAAGTTACTGCATGTGTTGAATCATAAACAGCTGTCACTTGGCTTTATTTAAACTATGTAATTTTACTCTGTCACCCTAAACAAACCTCAGTATTTTATCTGTCCTCTTATCATGAATTTACAAAAGATTCTATTGTCAAGCTTGTTTTTATGTCTCCCCCTCTAGCTATAACTGTTTTCTTACCAAAGTCTGCTATCTTGGCATTCTTATTGGCATCCAATAGGACATTCTCAGGTTTGAGGTCTCTGTGAACCACCATGTGCCGGTGACAGTAGTCTACAGCTGAGATAATCTGCTGGAAAAGGCGGCGTGCTTCAGTGTCCTCCACCTGAAAGACACAAAATGAATGGACTTGACTGATCTGAGTGATGATGTTCCCTCTGATCTACAAGTATGCAACTGGGTCAGTTGCAACAGGACCCAACTTTAAAAACATTTCTAGCAGATTTTGTTGAGCCAGTGCAAAAAAAAAAAAGCACTAACATTTAGAGTTATTATGGAAAACATTCATTTACTGATTTATTAGAAATGGAAAACATTTCAGACTGTGTTTTCTATGCATGTAATTAATTTAAGATCAATAATAATTAGCCCATTTATCTCTTTTAATTGCCCTTAATGACCTGAGGGAATAGCTAGCTTTGTGGATGCTAAATGTAAAAAGCTAGTGATTTTAAATAGTCTGGTTTTCTAAACTGTAGAACGCTGCCTACGGACTAGTGGATAATGGGCTTTAACACAAAAGGTAGTGACAACAGAGTTCATGAAAAGAGAAAGAAGCACAAAAAAGATCAAAAGATTAAAAAAAACAGCAATAAAAGCAAAGACAGTGGACAGTTTCATTGCTTTTAACACTAGTTTCACTTCACTATAATGAGTGACTTTGGCTCGCTCTCCTTGGCAGAAGCAGGACTAAAGGACCAACAATAGCACAAACATGTACAAGAGTAGAAGTAGTGCACATTCTGGATGTTTCTGACCCTGGCGACATAACCAGGTAAGACATGCAACGTTCTGCAAAGCTGTGTGTAGGTGCTGTGTAGGACTAATGCATAACCATGCAGTCCATTAAGAGTCACGCTACTTCAATTTCAAAAGGTGAAGTTCATAAACATCAATAGAAAACTATGAATGGCTTTACTAGACTTTACTAGGGCAGCTTTTCGTGACTCGCAGTTCAAAATAAACCATATTTATGTCATACTAGGCCTGTGGAACCTATCAGTTAATATGATGTCTGAAACAAGCCATTTTAGCCATCTTTACCCTCATTTTAAACCAACTTTCTTCTGATTGGTTGCCCCTCAATCAATCAGAAGAAAGTTGCCCCTCGGGCAGCACGGTGGCACGGTGGTTAGCACTGTTGCCGCACAGCAAGAAGGTCCTGAGTTCAATTCCAACACCAGGCCGGGGTCTTTCTGTGTGGAGTTTGCATGTTCTCCCCGTGTTTGCGTGGGTTCCCTCCGGGTACTCCGGCTTCCTCCCACCGTCCAAAGACATGCAGCTTGTGGGGATAGGTTAATTGGAAAATCCAAATTGTCACTAGGTGTGAATGTGCGAATGAATGTGAGTGCGAATGGTTGTCTGTCCCTGTGTGTTAGCCCTGCGACAGACTGGCGACCTGTCCAGGGTGTACCCTGCCTCTCGCCCTGTGACAGCTGGGATAGGCTCCCGTGACCCTGGAAAGGATAAGCGGAAGCGAATGGATGGATGGATGGATGGATGGATGGTTGCCCCTCGTAAACAGAAAATCTAAGAAATGTTTTTTATGCTCACAGGTAGAGCTTTGTGCTCTAGAGACATCTGCTTTCATTGACACCCACAGAGCTAAGGGCAGAAAAAACTGCCTGAAATTAAATGTTTAGATGAATCTAAAGCATGAAACTTTGGCTCAAAGGAATTACTTTCACATAAATTGACTTCATCTAAGTTTTTTAAAGTTTGCCCATGTTTAACATGAGCATCCACTATTACAGTGTAATACGATGTAATGTATACATGACAAAACAAGGAGAGACGTTGTAAGTTGCACTTGAAAACAGTGCACATGTTTAGGAACATAGTTTAAATGTACATTATAAGTTAATTAAAATATAGATACCTACTCAAAATGACAGTAGTAAGAAGATATATTTAAAGCTAAAGCAAGACCATACAGTTTATAATATATATATAATGTGAAGGATGTGGATTTAAATAATGTGAAAAAATACAGTCAACACAAAGTTAAGTATAAATACACTCAGCTATTTTTAACAGCAAGTCTACTTGGATTACTGCACAACCCCAGGAAACAAACCATCATCAGATTTTTGCTTGATATGTTTACCAAATATATGCAACAATTGCTTTTAAACTGTCAGAACTGTTTAACCAGTCAGGCTTCTGTTTAGTCAGCTAACCATGCCACTGGATAATAAAAGAATTTCTGATGATTCATTGACCACTGTACTCAGCCAGGCTGAAATCTACCAGCAAGATAATAGAAGAATGTCATCTTACCCGTCCATTCTTGCAGATGTAATCAAACAGCTCACCTCCCGACACATACTCCATAACCATGAAAAAATCTGTCGGGGTGCTTATGACCTGGTACCTGACAACAACAACAACAACAAAAACAACAACAAAAAAAAAATGTATTACAATGAACTTTTAATACATTTATTAGTTGATTTCACCTTCTATCGTCTATTTTCACCTTTTATTCTCAAAAATTTGGAGAGGTTTCTTCTCATGATCATTTTTGTAACTTGTGCAACAGGACACAGGAGTCATTGTTGCTATTAAAAAATCACCAGTCAGTCATATTTGTCATTCATGACATTTCTGATTAATTTACTGGAAATAAGAACAAATGTGCTTTTCTTTCAAAACAAAGACACAGATGGGTGAACCGGAATGTCTAAACCTATATCGTCTACATAAACAATACACAGCATTAGTACACAGAAACAAAGGCACAGCAAGGCTGTGATATTGGGTTGCTTTCATAAAGGTCAGGTATGTTAAATTGCAGGCACAATTTCATGAATGGTTGCCGGTGGTAGAATATAAACTTTATCACAATCTATTTCAATACTGTCAAGCTGGGTGAAGCCTAACACCACAGGGACTATGGGAGGAGAAACATTAAGACAAATAACTTTTTTCTTCTAACAGTTGAGAGTGTGGCAGCTTTTATAGTCATGGTCAGTATGTTAAACTGCTTCCACGTCTGTACAAGAAGTGTACACAGTGTGCATGTGTTTATTACTGTATACGTCTCTGACACTGACTTCCACAGCACTCCAGCTTATGACCTGACAACTCGCATATCTGCCATTGCTTAGAGTTTTACAGTGGACTAACCATAACCCTAGACTAAAAATATCACAAACAATGTTGAGAGGGACGGACAGACATGGACTAACAAGGGGAAAGAGGCCAGGGAGATAGAAGGAAAGAGAAAGAAGGACAACAAAGTCACAGAAAAATCCATGAGGAGAGAGGGATTTAGACATGCTCCTTCATTACAACAATATCCAGCATATTAACTGGAGATTTGTCCTAGCCAGAGCACATTTCTTTATCTAGCTCCAAGCTTGTGTGCATGCACTGGTATGTTTGTGTGTTTTACCTCCTGTGACCCTTGTGGGTATGCTCAGTAGAGTACAGCTCTAGGAAACACATGTAAACAAGCAAAGCATGCCACAACACACAGCAAAGAACCCACGTTACAACAAGCAATAATAAAAGAGAGCCCAGTTATCTCTCTGCAAAGCTTGTCAGTCTTCACTGAGTCTGAGTCTTAAATCTGACAGACGGATGTGTCGTCTTTCTGTACTTACAGCTTGATGATGTGTGGGTGTCTGAACAGCTTAAGATTCTGGATCTCTCGTTTGATCTTCCCCACAACATCGAGACTACGGATCTTCTGTCTGTTCAGGATCTTCACAGCCACTTTATGGCCTGTCAACTGATGCTCGCCAACTAAAAACAACAGAATACAGACATGAAAGAGACAGACCACAGAGGCTAAAAAAATTAATAAAAAATAAATAAATCACATAACCTACTACATAAGCAGCTTGGTGTGGATTAAAAGGGTTACACTTTGATTTGGAGTCCTGTTGCGTAGGAAGCTTGCACAAAGTAGTGAATGAACTGCGTTTGTTATATTGAGCTTTTGCTCTCTTTTGTAACCCCTATTTTCTTTCCATGCGTTTGTTTATAGTGTTGGAGCTATCTGCCTGCTGGAGGCTCTGAAACCAAGCTGTTATTGCAGCTGCCAAACACTGCACACGAAACTCAGAGTCAGATACGAACTGGGGCATGAACTGCTCCACAAGTAACACACAAGCAGTAACCTGAAACGAGCAAGCATTACATACACACACACACAGTCATTTTTTATTCTTTCACACATGACTTTACACAGATTTTCTCCTAGTGGTTTGGGAGTGTGAGCAAAATCATTTTCCTTGATGATGATGTTCAGAAATAGCCATGGTAGCAAATGTTTTTAGCAGCACACGCAAGAAACAGGCGGGGTGAGCATAGAGTTAAAGCTCACAAGGTCATGCTGAGTGTCAGAGAACTAGCGAAGGCTACCCTAATAATAATCTGTTATACGCATCCTATTGAAGCTTTAAGATTGTTTAGGGTTTGCTCGACTTGACAAGCTACCACCGGCTAGCAGAGAATAACACATCGGACTAGCTTGCAAAATTAATGTCAGTTCAACGTTAGGTTCCCACGGTGGGTCAAACGGTAAGCTTCAATCGTCCTTTGTCGCCAGACAGGGCAAAGGACAGCCACCACCGCACAGTCCTTATTACTTAACGATATACCATAATAATGCGAGTGTGACTGTGCATCTCTATGCATCCAGGTTTTATCACCTGCCATAGCTGATAACAGCAGCTACTGAAGGGGGCTTCGGTGAAAGAATTTGACTTTGAAGCGGTCAGATTCTCAGACTACAGTACGTTTAAAATCCAGTCTGTTGCCGTGGTTAAACCGCTCAACTACGCCAACTGCTTCACTGACCACCAGCAAGTTGAACACGAAGCGTTAAAGGGGTGGTAGGGGAGTGGGGGCACAGCGACTACTTGGCATTAACTACTCCAACTGAAGGCACAAACGTACACATGAAGCCTGGCATGACACAGAAACAGGACTTAACTCTTCACTTTGCCGAATGTCCCCACTCCGAGCGTGTCGCCGAGGATGTAATGGCCGATCTTTACCCTGCCTTCGTGTTTCTGTTGTTGCCTCTCTGCCATCTTCTCCGTTACCGACGGCTTGGCTCGCTCGGTGAGGTGGGAGAACTGCCTGCCTGGCCTGTGCAGCGCACGGGGGGCGGGGAAGAGGGGGGGGCGGGGCACTTCAGAGTGAAGAACCACCAACGGCGGAAAACGCGCGCACGCACGCGAATTATCCCTCCAAGAACCAGGCGCGCTCTCCCACCTACCCTGCACGGAGCAACCAACAGGGTGTTATGTTGAGTTTAGTAGCCCAGTCAAATACTAACCCTCACGGTCTAAATATATAGATGTGTGTATATATATATACAGTGGGGCAAAAAAGTATTTAGTCAGCCACCGAATATGCAAGTTCCCCCACTTAAAATGATGACAGAGGTCAGTAATTTGCACCAGAGGTACACTTCAACTGTGAGAGACAGAATGTGAAAAAAAAATCCATGAATTCACATGGTAGGATTTGTAAAGAATTTATTCGTAAATTAGGGTGGAAAATAAGTATTTGGTCACATCAAACAAGGAAAATCTCTGGCTCTCACAGACCTGTAACGTCTTCTGTAAGAAGCTTTTCTGTCCCCCACTCGTTACCTGTATGAATGGCACCTGTTTGAACTCATCATCTGTATAAAAGACACCTGTCCAGAGCCTCAAACAGTCAGACTCCAAACTCCGCCATGGCCAAGACCAAAGAGCTTTCGAAGGACACCAGGAAAAGTATTGTAGACCTGCACCAGACTGGGAAGAGTGAATCTACAATAGGCAAGCAGCTTGGTGTGAAAAAATCAACTGTGGGAGCAATCATCAGAAAATGGAAGACATACAAGACCACTGATAATCTCCCTCGATCTGGGGCTCCACGCAAGATCTCATCCCGTGGGGTCAAAATGATCATGAGAATGGTGAGCAAAGATCCCAGAACCACACGGGGGGACCTGGTGAATGACCTGCAGAGAGCTGGGACCAAAGTAACAAAGGTCACCATCAGTAACACACTACAACGGCAGGGAATCAAATCCCGCAGTGCCAGACGTGTTCCGCTGCTGAAGCCAGTGCATGTCCAGGCCCGTCTGAAGTTTGCCAGAGAGCACATGGATGATACAGCAGAGGATTGGGAGAATGTCATGTGGTCAGATGAAACCAAAGTAGAACTTTTTGGTATAAACTCAACTCGTCGTGTTTGGAGGAAGAAGAATACTGAGTTGCATCCCAAGAACACCATACCTACTGTGAAGCATGGGAGTGGAAACATCATGCTATGGGGCTGTTTTTCTGCCAAGGGGACAGGACGACTGATCCGTGTTAAGGACAGAATGAATGGGGCCATGTATGGTGAGATTTTGAGCCAAAACCTCCTTCCATCAGTGAGAACTTTGAAGATGAAACGAGGCTCGGTCTTCCAACATGACAATGATCCAAAACACACCGCCCGGGCAACAAAGGAGTGGCTCCGTAAGAAGCATTTGAAAGTCCTGGAGTGGCCTAGCCAGTCTCCAGACCTCAAACCCATAGAAAATCTGTGGCGGGAGTTGAAAGTCTGTGTTGCTCAGTGACAGCCCCAAAACATCACTGCTCTCGAGAAGATCTGCATGGAGGAATGGGCCAAAATACCAGCTACTGTGTGTGCAAACCTGGTAAAGACCTATAGTAAACGTTTGACCTCTGTTATTGCCAACAAAGGTTATGTTACAAAGTATTGAGTTGTATTTTTGTTATTGACCAAATACTTATTTTCCACCCTGATTTACGAATAAATTCTTTACAAATCCTACCATGTGGATTCATGGATTATTTTTTTTTTTTTTCACATTCTGTCTCTCACAGTTCGAGTGTACCTCTGGTGCAAATTACTGACCTCTGTCATCATTTTAGGTGGGGGAACTTGCACAGTCGGTGGCTGACTAAATACTTTTTTGCCCCACGTGTGTGTGTGTGTGTGTATGTATATATATATATATATATATATTACTCATATTTCGTGAGTAATTACTAGTATGGGTTTTTCTTCTTTATTCCTAAATGCAAAATGTGGAGTTCACCACTAGATGGCAGCATACGTATGATTCATCAATACTCAATACCTGGTATGAGTTTCGGATTTCTTTCTACTCCTATTGTTAAACATACGCAACAAGCAAGCAATATTTATTTATATAGCCATTTGCCCGGACAAGAACGGCATCGAAAGGAATCTAGGACAAAACAACAATGTGAAAAAAGAGGAAACGGGAATACGATGAAAATACACAAAAAAACACAAGGCTCGAGCTTCTCAAATTGGACAACAAATAGTGTTCGCTCACCAACATATTATATTACATTATGTTATATTATAAGATTTTTTTTGTATTAAACATAAAATCGTCTGGAAACAGAAATTTCCTGAAGTTAAAAAGGATTAAAATCACGAATTACAGACTTCCCGTCTTTGTCTCTGTATGGAGACTGGACAAATATATATAAGGTTTCGACACATTTTTCACATGAAAAACAAATATCAATATTTTAATTAACATTTGAACTTTAATTGTTGCAATATTATATTTTTGTTCATCTTTTAAAATAAACACTTTATTGAAAATTAAAAAAAAAAACTCTAGCACTATATACTGGCACATATTCTCTTTATTTTGTCTGTCCAAGAACAAAGATTTTTAATAGTCTCAACTCAAAAGCGCTTCGGTTGTTTTGCGCCTGTTACCGTGAGTAACCGCTAGGAGCAGTTTATCCGCAACGGTGGTCAGTCCACTGCTGGTCTCCACTCTTCCAAGTTTTTCAAGCAGGGATGGAGACGATTACTCGTTAGCAGAGAGAGGAGGAGGGCTGCTGTGGGAACTAAGAGAGCGGGGGGAGGAGGAGGAGAAGAAGGATTGATATAACAAGAGCGGCTGTCGATGCGCAACGCAAGTCTCACTCCAAGTCTTTGAAACAAGACAGATAAAGGGGAGCGGGCTTTCCATTCAGTACCAGTGCAGGCAATTTTTTAAAACTAAGTTCGTGCCGCGGGTCAGTTCTCCATTTAGCCTACTACTCATCTGACTTTTAATTATTTTGTAAAACTGAAATACGAGAGAGCGAGTCATAAACAGATCAGAAACTCCGAGAGAGCTGCGAGTTGGGAAGTTTGTTTCCCGTTGCTTTGCATGACATTTCTTCCAAGGACTTGAGAGCCTGACACAGTTTCTTCATAGACCGTGCGGTGTGGGATTTTGATCTGAAACGGGGACTCATCAAATGCAAAATTACATGTATGAGAAAGCAATGGCTCAAGAAACAAGGAACGGAGGAACCTCTACGTTAAATAACAACAATGGTGTTGACAACAGTAAGAAGAAGGTGCTAATAGTGCTCGATGTCTTCTGCCTTCTACTTGGTAAGTTCACACAGATATGTTTACACGATGCTTTCCTCTCTGTTACCATTTAAACTGCGTATCTCACATCAGCTTTTGTAGAGTACATGCAAAAAAAAGTGAAGACAGAAACTTCTGCACATTGCACTCACAATAAAAGTCATCTTTAGAATAGATAAACGGTGCCCGCCTTTTCTCAAGTCTGCCAATAAGAGTATTATCATTTTAAAAGTATTGCCCGTTATCTGTAACTGCAAAACAACTTCAGCTGCTACATCCCCTTATCATCCAGTACCAACGCAACACCCCCGGGCAGTGGAAGTGCCGAATAAAAAAAAATCAAACAACATTTCAGGAGTTCGCACTTTTAATTTTCTTTAATTCACCCCAGAATCACAATCAGTTTGTAAACTGAGAAGAAGAGAAAACTTCTTTTCTTTGTTGTTGTCAAGACAGGTGACTAGCTTCTCTCATCGGAGATAACTGTCACCGGGTAATATACTGATCATTTCAAAGTCCATGGAGTGTCACTGTAATTGATCAGTTGTCAACATGCCTTGGGCATAAATATTTTCAAGTGTTCTAACCTGCCCTTAAAAATAGCCAGACAACACCCACCACTTCCCCCAGTCTGTTCTCTGATAACGATGATCATCTGACCCCAAATCAGATGAACATGTTTATCAGTCCAGCTAAAGCTGGCCATAGGCTGAGTTGCAAGGTGACTGAAGTAAAAATCAAAGTGTAATTAAAATACTGACTAACAGCTCACAAAACATTCCCCAAAGCTAATGTCACATCAGGGTTTTTTTTGCATTAGCTCTCATTTGCTCCCACAGAAATTTTAATGTGTGTTAGTTCTAAGTTCAGTGGGCATCCCATACAGATTCAGTGTGCTGCCTTTGTGTATGTGTGTCTGGTGTCTGTGTGTGTGTTGTTTTGCTGGTTTGTTTTTGGCTGTTGTCACTGTAGCCCAGTCCTTTTAGTGTTGAGCGCCAGTAACCCCCCCCCCCCCCCCCCCCCCCCCTTCTTTTCACACTATTTTCATTCCCCCATCTCCCCTTTCTCTTTTTTGGAAAAGGATTACGGGAGTTCTGCTTAACTTCTACACATTCACTCCTAGAATCTTGCCAATCCCTGGCCAGCTGCCCCTGATCTCTTCACTTCAAATTACTTTCTTTCTTTCTTTCTGGCTCTCTTTCTCCCTCTCTGTCCAGGGGAATGCGTGGAATAATTGCTTAAGCATGTGTTGTGGTAGGGGAAGGCCTCTCCAATTTGAGTGAGGGATCGAAAAGTGGGACCAGTGGCTGACCGGGCTTTAGAGGAGCAGGTGGGAGACACACCAATAGCGCAATATAAAGGAACCAGTAAAGTACCGATGAAGTATGCAACACTACCACACAGGAGCTGGATTGTATCATCCAGTATGTTACAAATGGTGCACATTAACTCCACATAAGTGCTGTGAGGTAGAAGCAAAGCTCGCTGACAGACAAAGTTTTCCATTGGGTTTATACTAGTTTTCTTATTAAAGAACCCCAGACAGAGATACACTGTTTCATCTGCACTCATATAACTGTAGATGAGCTTTGATCACATGTGGACTGAATTTCCTGCACAAACCAACTTCCTTTATTGGTTAAAGCTCTACAGACAGTTCTCCATTGCCTTGTTAGGACACACACACGCACTCACAGACACGCATGTATGCCTGTAAACTCACACAATGCATGTAAG